CTTGGCTTAATAAAAACCTATGAGGCCTACAATACACTTGTTATTTATTATTGCTAATGATTCATTATACAGCATACGCAGACATACGGGCAGACAGATAATATGGCTGTTGCTCTGACACAAGGAGGTCATGTTTGAAATTTTACAAACTTCTTAATATGTTGAAGTGAGAAGTTCTTTTTTAAGCATAGACATCCACCATTTAATACATGTCACCTAGAAAAAGTTCCATTTGAAAAGACGTCATTATGTCATTATATTTGTCCTTTTTTTTTTTTCTTCAATAAAAACTGATGTTAAAACTGGACAACTGATAGAACACGTAGGCTAAAGGCATGAAGGTCACCTGCTGTTTAATTTCAATTTTAATCAGTTCTTTAAAATCACAGCAGATGTAGTTTGGGCAAACAGGCAGTTACACAAAAATAGAGATGAACTTACATATAAAGTATCCAAAACAACAGAAGGTAGCTCAGCTAAATAAACAAAGAACCACTTTAACAATTAGATTACACGACATTATACAAGATCAATAAAACCACTTCAGGTCATAGTGTTGCAGTAGAAAGTAGCAATGGGATGTGTAATAAAGGTCTCCACTATTAATCAAAATATTACCAAAATCTCATTATAGCCAAGTGCAATATTCAAACCACAGGAGCTGCAATGTTTGGATAAAGGCAAAATGTGTCACAACGTACCACTATAAATGAAGTCATGTTTACAGAGATCCCCGAGCCTACAAATCATATTCCAGACATAAGGAAACATGCTTGTTTGGTACAGATCCCAGCAAAAATCATCATCGTTATATTTTTCAATATATATATATGTATATTTATGAAAAATGAACTCCAAAAATGACCATTCCCATTAAAATTGTGACTCATATTGCAATCACAGTATCTGTCAAAATAATGTTTTTTCTTTTTTGCATATTGTGATAAAATAAAGACGGCAAAATCACTGTTAATTATAACCAGAAGAAAACAAAACAAAAAAAAAAACACTGTATATTACTGCTAAATTATGGGATCTGTTACATTAAGAAGTGGAAACTGCAAAACTTTCCTTTGGTATTAAGAAAGTTCATCTTATCTCATCTCATCTCATCTCAGTCAGTCTTTTTGCGGAACATGACATGTCATTAAATTAAGTAGGTTGACAGGACAGATGATCAGAGGGGCAGAGTTTTCACCATCCTGATTTGCACAGGGAAAAAAGAATGGGTGGAGTTTTCCAGTGAAGGAGCAGCCAGTAAAGGTGTAGATAAGAGCTGCAGCATCAACATCATAAAAGGAGACCAGACCCTCGTCATAATCTACAAACACCCCCACCTTCTCAGGCTTCGACTTCAAAGAGAGAGGGACTAAGGACTCAGTAACAGTATGGTAGATAATTTCATTCATCAAACCTATTGTCCAGTAACCATTCTGAGGGCTTGCAGTGATTGGCCCCTTTCTGTTGACTGACTCTCTGACAACTCCTAAACCCCATTTAGTTTTCCCTTTCACCTGAACCTCAAAGTAAAATCTTCCTGAAGAAACAAACTGATTACCCAAGACACAGAGACCAAGAGAAAATCTCTTTGGGATTTCTGGGAGATCCTTCCACACAGCACCATCATGTACTTGTTTCCCATCTTCAGACAGGATGAGTCGGGGATGTGCTGTATCAGGATCAAGTGTGACGTCCACTGCAAACTGCTGGACTGTCTTTAACTCAATGTTTGTGAGAAGCTTCTTCATCTCATTTTTTAACATCTCCACCAACTGATCAACAGTTGTCCACACAGTCCCCTCATATGAAGGTGGACAGACTTTGACCTCTATCCAGTTCTTGGTGGGTGGAGCAGCATCCAGGGATGGAAACTTCTGGACGAGGTTAAGGTGGTCTTCTGAGCGTGAGAGCTGCTCCAGCTCATCGCTTCTCTTCTACAGCTCAGAGATTTCCTGTTCCAGCTCTTTGATGAAGCCTTCAGCCTGTTTCTCTGTCATTCTGTGCTTTTCTTCAGCCATCTTAATAAGTTTGACCTGGTGTCTCTCAATAGCCTCCTTCAGCTCGGTGAAGACATGATTTTTGATTGCTATCTCTCTGTCTGCATTTTCTCTGCTGATATTGATTGAATGTTTGAACTCCTGAATCTTGAGTCGTCTCTCCTCGATCATTTGCTGAACTCCAGCCTCTGTCTTTCCAAGCTTGGCCAAGTTTCTTTCATATTCTTCTTTTAGAGGCACAACATCATGTGACTTGTGGTCTAAAACAGAGCAGAGCATGCAGACACACATCTGGTCGGTGTTACAGAACAGCTCCAGAGGTTTATCGTGCTTCATACACATCCTGCCTTCCAGGTTCTCCACAGGGTCGATCAGCTGATGTCTTTTCAGGCCTGAAGCTGTCAGATGAGGCTCCAGGTGAGTCTCACAGTAGGAGACCAGACACACCAGGCAGGACTTCAGGGCCTTCACTTTGGATCCAGTGCAGACGTCACAGGGAACGTCTCCTGGTTCAGCAGCTTGTTGCTCTGAGCTGCTGGCTCTCTGTTGAGCTGACTGTCTGAAATGAGAAACCATCTCAGAGACAAAAATATTGACCTGCAGCTCAGGTCTTGTGTAAAAAAAATTATTACAGTTGGGACACTGATAGAGGACATTAAAATTCCAGTGTGTAGTGATGCAGTTCTTGCAGAAGTTGTGTCCACATGGTGTGCTGACTGGATCAGTGAACACATCCAGACAGATGGAGCACAGAAACTGATCTTCAGACAGTGAACTGCTGGCAGCAGCCATATCTAAACAATGAGAGCAACAATGAAAGTATGAAAAAGCAAAACTAGAATGACAGAATTCTTGATTATTTGTTTTTATAATATGAAAGTATAATAACCTCAATGTTATGAGGCTTCTTTGTAACATACAGCTACAGTACACATAAGTAAAAGTCTCATTTAACAAGTCTTGTTCTTAAATGACAAAGGTGACACACCCTGTGTGAGCACAGTGCAGGTATGTGGTAATACTGGTTGTTTAAACACAGTAGAAATGATCAGCTGTACTCACCAGTGTGCAGAAACTCTGTTACGTAGTTTGGAAATCCCCTGCAAACTTAGTTTACTGTAATTTATCTTTAACAGCAAACAGTGAGACGTGTCTCAACCGTAGTACTCCTGTTAGTTTGCTCCTGCTACTCTCTCAGTTTCCTTTCAGGAGTCTGACGTTTAAACTCATGTATTGCTTTTGCTCCGCCCCTTGTTCCAGCTTTGTTGGTGACATTTTTCTGTCTCCAGCTGAGCAACCTTTGGCATGACACACCTGTAACAGGTAGGATCCTACAATACCAGAATAGTGACACACATTGGTAAAGCGGTAAGTTGGTCACATGCCCTCTAGTGGTGGGATAGCGCGTTGCATATCCGACCAAGTCCAAAGTCAAGCAAACCTAAAAGCATAATCTACCATAATCTACCATAATAGGATTATCGGTGACCTGTTTACAGGTAAATTTTAACAAATGGTCATTAATTGCTGTGTGATGAATGCCTGCTGTTTTAATAATGATATACTTTCAAGTGGCTCCACAACTCTATGGATGGCTAACATGCTAAGCAAGTTTGCACGCTAAATTAAAAAAAAAATTCAAATTAAAAAAAAGTTTCAAATGTGTTCATCTGCAAAAATTACAGTCAAGCCTACTACATTACAACATCAGCAATCCCATCAATGTAACAAAGCAAATATCTTAGTTGCTGAATGTTTCAGTTATTGCAGCTTCATTGTTCGTGAAGTAAGTTATTTTTTTCATTGGAGAAGGCCACTGAGATTGTTACCTGTAAGGTCAGTGGCATTTAACTGCAGATGTTCTTCTGTCTCATAAACTATAGTAATACTTCAGGACACTTGGAACAAACAAATTTTCATGTTCATTTCATTTATATAAATGCAGATATATTGTAATAAACCAAGTGAATATGGCTTTTAAAAAGAGTACTGTACTGTTAAAAAAGGAATACAGAAACAGTTTCTCAAGCTGTTCATACATTGAGTTGGTGGAGCCTATCGAACCTTGAACCTTTCAATTTGATGTGAATGCTATATGCTGACTAAGCTACACAGGCACTTGTATGTGATGCATCCAACAGTATCATAGCACATCAGTATATTATGTCTATCCATGCAGTTTGGCCAATAGCTTGATGTTAATGCATGTTTATCACTTAGTAGATTCTTAAAACAGCTGTCTACCATAATGTTACTCTCTACATTATGAAATAAACAAATTATAAGCATGACTTAATATGACCAAGAAAAAACAAGTAAAAACAGGCCATTTTCATCAACTTACAAGCAAGTGCACATCAGACATACTGTAAGGTAATGCGCTCATGCCCCACTAGAGGGTGCCTGAGGCTTAACTTCAGTATTCCACAGGAGTCAATGGAAGTGTCATCACTCTGGTATTGTAGGGTCCTAGTCAGAGCGATAGATAAGAACAGAGTGGCGACAGCTTTTGATGTCGCCGCCAGAGCGGTCACGTGGTTCATGTAAGCCTCAATAGTTCCAAACACAGTCTCCGCTGTCATGTTCTTTGGGACAGACAGCAGTGAGCTCGCTTTTGAATGGTAAATATTAAAATAAACCGTACACAGGTACATTTACAACTCTTATTGAATTACTGTGTATACATCAATGTCAGTTACGTGTATTGAGTGGCTGCCTAACAACTAAAAACGTAATTAGACATGTTTTTCTGTGTGTTTTTTTTTTTTTGGAGGGAAAGCTTTGTGTTAGCTTCATGGACTGCAGATAAATTAGCAACTAAACTGTAATCTGGTGCAATGCATCTCTTATGTAGCTACATGAGATTAATGTAGGCTATTTGTGAATACTCCCAGACATTGGACAATGATGATAAATGATGGTTTTCAGTTAAACATTTTATATATTTAAACGATGAATGTGACAATAAGAGCAACTGTGTGTCTGTGAGAACAAGAAAAAATTAAAAGACAATGTATGAAGGCTCTTACATCACAGAAAATTATAAATTTGGCATTAAGAACAAGAAGAAAAACAATTTTATTTAACAGAGATCATATTCCAGCATTAGGACAGCAGAACAAAGGTGGGGCTATGAAATGGTTAAAAAAAAGCCATATGAGATTTACTGCAGGCACAACTATGTACACAACTCTTCAAGTTGTGGTTGGACACACTGGAGGAGATGGTGGAGAGATGCACACTGAAGATGCTCAAGGCCATCATGAATAACCCGGTTCATCCACTCCGTAACACCTTGATGGAACAAAAAAATAGTGGTGGACGGCTCCTCTCTCTTCAATGCAGGACAGAGAGATACAGAAGATCCTACATACCTACAGCCATCACGCTTAATTCTTTTGCAAATAATAAATGAGCTGACAGACAATTGAATAAAGTTATTCTTATTGTTATTATTCTTATCTTATCTGCCATTCACATCTTTAGTGAAGGACCCAATGATGGTCTGAGATGCCTGGTTGAGGAATAGCAACAGTCAGCATTATAACAGCTCTGAGAGGTATTCCAGAGGTTCAACAAACTCTCAGTCTAACATTGAACTCTGAATATGGGAAACTGAGCATTCAGTTCTAGAACAGCTGATCTGAATTGGTTGAATAAACTCTGAATATGTTAACCTTTGTATGCCCCGATTCACCATAGAAACACCAGATAAACAAAGAGCAACTTATCTCACGCTAGTGGAACACAAGCTCCTTTTACACGCTTACAGAGAATATGAGCACATATTCTGTAAAAACAGTAACACTACTGTTGTACCTGGTACTAAGATTACTCTTCAAAGTGCCTGACAATGCAACCTCCTGCTAAGGGGCAGGAGAGACCCTTAAACCTAAAAAAAAAAAAAGTGACTCAGCAAAGGGTGGTCACTTTGTTCCCATCCCTGGAGCTGGAAAAGGCTTAGCTTTAGGAACAGCAAACCCTGCAAGAAGAAAACATGACACACATACACAACTAAGAAAAGGAACAGCCACAAAATAATTTGCTGCTCATGTAATTTCTAGCTACCTCACTTGTGGAGTCTTTTGACAGCAGAAACTTCACAGGGCTCTTTCAGGATCACCTAACAGACACAATTTGAAATAATTAAACTCAACGTTCCATATAAACATGTAATATTTTTAAATCAGAGGTAAATAATATCATTAATTCAGTGGTAAAAGGTGTTGTGATATACTCCCGTAGTGTTTCAACCACTGTGCAGTGTTTTGGTCTTGTACGATTAAGTTTATGAATGTAACATTCAAAGACTAGCTGAAATAGCATTTTTAAGCTGTCTAGCCTCTATAGTGTGACTGTGACATAGTTCCAAGTTAAACATAATATATGCCTTAAATGCTGACAGAAGTAATAGTAGTAGTGAAGTAGTAGTAGTCCTATTTTAGTCTGTCATCACACGGCATACATATAAACAGGAATTAAATTATAAGATAATAACACTCTTATGTAAACATAAAAAGAATACACCGTACATAACGTTAGGTATTTGATAAAGGCTCAGGCAGAAGTATGTGTGCCTGTCCTACATTATCTTCTTATGGAACAGTTGAGAAAACTAATAAAAGCTAACACATCCTATTAACGTTACCCTTAGCTAACACCGTCAGGTTCGGATGATAAAATCTAAATAAAACCCGTTATTAATCATCCCAACTATATGTGATTTGTCTGTGATTCATTAATCAAACAGGAACACCACAAATGTTAGCTGCTAAACGGTGCTAAACCTCCACAGCTGGCGACGTTGAGCTAATGAACTAGCAGGCAATGGCTGAAAACCGATCATAATTCCTGACTCAAAAAAAAAACATAATTACATTGTGAACATACAAAAAAATCAATATCTACATAATAAAGGACCTCCGATATAATAAACACACGTAATGACTTAAAATTGGTCAATATTTCATCACCTTATCTCAGGAGTTTCTCGTTGTGCGGCCATTGAAATAAACGGAGTGTGACTCCACGGGAGGAATGTTTGGAACTATAGAGGGCTCCATAACCCTGAAATTCTGTCCGCCATGTTTTACAACGGAGTCCTATGGGAGTGTCGCCACTCTATCTATCGCTCTGGTCCTAGTAACAGGAAGCAAAGTACAGGAAGCGGTTCACAGTTCATGAAGACATTTCAATCACATTAAATTAAATGTTCCAGTTTTGCTTCTTATTTTCCCCAATTTAAACTCTGTTGTGAGAACAGAGCCAAACGATTGTAAAATACTGAGATGGAAACAGACAACTATGGAGACACGTTAGCTAGCATCATTAGCATCACCGGGAACAAGCTAACTCTCCTGTTAGCTTCCTCTAAAAAACTGTTGTTAACTTTTCCTTGTTTGTTGTGAGGTCACAATATGACTGGCTTCACAGTTAACTTCAGGGTTTCTTTTCCAGAGACTTGCCCATTCTCTGTTTTGCAGCAGTTTGACACTGACCGCATTTACATGCTATTTATTTATTAATCACATATTGTTAACTTCACCTGTTTATCGAGTGGACCTCGCAGGGTGCAATACCACGTTTGACCACACGGGCTGGGTGACATTTACCAGCAGTTAGCAAGGGGTCGCTGTTTCGCTCATCTGAGGAAAGTCATGAAAAGTGAAAAAGAGACTGTTTCTATAAAGAGGAGGTGACAAATGAGACAGGCTGGAAAATTCTTCTGGATTGATGTTTAACATGTTTTTGGAATGTTGTGTAGAACTAAGGTCATTAAAACATAAAAGACATGTTGTTTTTGTTGTGTAAAACATGATCTGTCAAAATTTTAAATCTATTTGATGGTTTTTGATCCATAAATGCAAATAGTCTGAAAGAAAGCCCAATATCCACCACGTTAAACATGAACTGAAACTGCACTTTGAAACACTAAAATAACAAATCAAAAAGCTACGTCAATTATGGATATTTACAACACCTTAAAACCCTTTTTCCTAATTTCAAAGAGTATTTGTACCCCTTTTGTTCTGAGTTATTAGGGTCCGGCCAGCTAAGCTGCCAGGACACTATTGTAATCCTAGGTATTCTTCTTCTTCTTCTTCTTCTTCTTCATCTTCCGAGGAAATCATACTTCCCATGGGTGAAAACTCACCAAACTTTGCACAAAGGTCCAGTCTCATGCCAGATATCTTCAGCTGTAAACTCAAGCCAATAGTCCTGATGGTGGCTTTGAAAATTCATAACAAATCAACTATATGTGCTACAACTTCACAACTTCCATCAAACTGTAGCCCCAATACTGAAAAAAAAACCTTTTGTACATTTAAACCTATTAAAAATTATGAAGTTCATCAGGTTTTTTCAAAAACTGTAAAACTTCTTAAACCTATCTCCTCCCACCATTTTTGCTCAATTGACACCAAACTTGCTACAGAGCATCTTCAGACTGTCCTACAAAAACTATGTTTCTCAGATTTTTTATTTATCAAAAAATTGAACCTACAGTGCATCAAAATGTTTGACTGTAAACGGTACTGTAAACATATACATGCAAATTCTTGCTAAACAAATCTTCAATGTTCATGAAAAAAAGGACAAAATTCTTGAGTCATGGTATATGATGTGTGGCAAATTTCAGAATTTTATCTCAAAAACTTTTTGAATTTTGCTCTAATGTGAACAATTGGAGTCAATGTAAAAATGGCAATTTTAAACATCAGTTTTTCACTTATGGAGCAAATCAATCATTGTTACAAATTTACAAATTAGCAACATCTCCATGCTGTCTAGATGCAATATGTGTATTTTCAGATTTTTGTCTTAATAACTGAATTTTTGACAGCATGTTGAATTTTGCTCTAATGTGAACAATTGGAGTCAATGTAAAAATGGCAATTTTAAACATCAGTTTTTCACTTATGTAGCAAATCAATCATTGTTAAAATAAATTACCGGCCACAAAATATTTAATGTATGATAATATGACAAATAAAATTCTTAAATCTTATTTAAATGAAAGCTATTTGAAAAGCAGGGAAGTCTTACTTGCCTTGGTTTCTTACAAAAAAGGAAACAGTAGAAAATAATAAGTATAGAAAAAAATCTAATAGAATCAGTGCTCTCCTTCTTTATTCATATGTCATTTTATACAGATTCAACTCTGGTTCTTCCCACTGGTTTGATCCGCCACAGAGAGGCACAATAATCCCACTTTTCTAACTCATAAATATTTTCTATTATTCACCCTAGGAATGAGAGATGCAGCATGTATAACTGATATCTAGACAGCACACATGTATTCACCACAGCAGACATATGCACAGACAGATAACATGGTAATTTCTCTGTCATCAAAAAAGTTGCATTTGAAAAAATGTCATTATATCATTATCTATGTTCTTTTTTTTAAAATAAAAACGTATGCTAAAACTGGACAACTGATAGAACACGCAGGCTAAAGACATGAAGGTCACCTGCTGTTTGATTTCAATTTTAATCAGTTCTTTAAAATCACAGCAGATGTAGTTTGGGCAAACAGGCAGTTACACAAAGATAGAGATGAACTTACATAAAAAGTATGTTACACAAAATAAGGTAACTCCCAAGCTTGGTCTGATGTAATGTTTTGAGGTTTAAAGACAGGTTTAACACTTAAACTACTTGTTTTCAAATCATAGTGTTACAGTAGAAAGTGGCAATGGGATGTTTATTAAAGGTCTCCACAATTAACCAAAATACACTGCTCAAGAAAATTAATTAAGGGAACACTTACATCAAACATCAGGGCCCGTATTCACAAAGAGTCCTCTCAGAGAGCTCATAACTTAGCCTAAAAATTCCTAGCAAGGAATCTTAGCTTAAGAGTGATTCAGGAAGTTTCTGAGAGCAACTCTGAGCAAGGAGGGGACAGAAACTTTTATCTTAGTGAGGAGGTGTGGCTGACCCTGTTGCTAGGTATGACGCAGTCTTCTAAAAGCTGTGATTGGTTGTTACAAAAAGGAAAAAAGAAAAAAACAAAACAAAACAAAAACAAATGTGCTCCTAGTAATGAATGGACAGTGAAATCAACCTCTCATAGAACTTAGACTGTATTAAGAAATGTATAATCGTGAAAATAATTTTATGTCATGATCAGCAAAATTAAATTAATTGTTACATAGCTTCAAAAAGTTTGAACATACCTCATTCCCATGCCGATTATTATATTGATTTGCTTATTGTTATGTTTACTCGCCATGCTGGTAATTTTACTACTTAATCTATTTGATATTAATGGTGGATGCAGACTCAGCTGTCAGTAATTACTGTGATTGCTGGCCTCCTTGTAAAAAGCAGTTTGATTTGGCAGAATGACCAAAACAACAAACAAAATGGAGAAAAAAAGAATGAGAAAGTCGAACTGGACAGAAGAGCAGTGCCTGCTGTTGGCACAGCTCGAGGAGGAGAACAAAGGAGTTTTAAGAGGGAAATTTGGTCCCGGGATCAAGGCACAAAGAGACAGACTTGGGAGCGCATTGCCAGACACATCAATGCGTCCTTCCCTCTCCTTTTACACACAAGCGATGAGCGCGAGAAGTGCTGGTACGTGCTGCAATCCAAAGCGAGAGCGGAGACTGCAGCAAAACGAGGCTGTGAAAGCGCCGTAGCCTAATGGTCTGACTGACCACTCTGCTGACAGAGGGTTGTGACAGACCCAAGTCATCAATGCTACACTGTTGCATTTTTCCCGTAGCCAGGTATCGCAATGTTGTGATGACCTTCATCTCAGGCGTTATTGCGTTACTACGCTGGGTGGGAAAAGTAAGCTCATCCCTGATGAGGTCAACCACAAACATTATCCCTGCACGATCAAGCCGGTAGCGTCTTATTAAATCACTGTCGTTCAATATACGGAGAATATCTCTCCTTCCTCTCTGTCTTACTGCCATCTTCTCTGTTTAAGACACTTTTAGGCTTCTTAAAAGTCCCCCTCCCTCCTCTTAACAGTTTTTCACATTAGGAGCTCTCTTAAGGCCTAAGATGCTTTGTGAATAACTTTATGTTACCAAGGGAAAATTCTAAGAAAAATCTTAGAATTAGAGGAATTCTAAGATTTTTCTTAGAATGACGTCACTAAGAGCTACTTTTAGTCTTAGGAATCTTTGTAAATACGGGCCCAGATCTGCAACTGCATGAATTTCCATCTGTCTTAAGAAAGTTCATCTCATCTCACCTCAAAGTCAGTCTTTTTGCGGAACATGACATGTCATTCCACTAAGTAGGGTAGACAGGACAGATGATCAGAGGGGCAGAGTTTTTACCACCCTGATTTGCACAGGGAAGGAAGACTGGGTGGAGTTTTTCAGTGAAGGAGCAGCCAATATGGGCATCGATAAGAGCTGCAGCATTAACGTCATAAAAGGAGACCAGACCCTCGTCATAATCTACAAACACCCCCACCTTCTCAGGCTTCAATGTCAGAAAGAGAGGGACGAAGGTCTCAGTAAAAGAATGGTAGAAATTTCCTTTCCTAGAATGCATTGTCCAGTAACCGTTCTTAGGGCTTACACTGAGTAGCCCCTTTCTGTTGACTGACTCTGCAGCAACTCCTAAACCCCAATCAGGCTTTCCTTTCAACTGAACCTCAAAGTAAAATCTTCCTGTAGAAACAAACTGCTTCCCCAAGACACAGAGACCGTGAGAAAATCTCTTTGGGTTATGTCGGAGATCCTTCCACAAAGTACCATCATGTACTTGTTTCCCATCTTCAGACAGTATGAGTCGGGGATTTGCTGTATCAGGATCAAGTGTGACGTCCACTGCATACTGCTGGACCGTCTTCAGCTCAGACGCCTTGAGAAACGTCTTGACCTGTTTTATGAACATCTCCACCAACTGATCAACAGCTGTCCCCACAGTCCCCTCATATGAAGGTGGACAGACTTTGACCTGTGTCCAGTTGTTGGTGGGTGGAGCAGCATCCAGGGATGAAAAGTTCTGGAGGAAGTCAAGGTGGTCTTCTAAGAATAAGAGCTGGTCCAGCTCGGAGCTTCTCTTCTTCAGCTCAGAGATTTCCTGTTCCAGCTCTTTGATGAAGCCTTCAGCCTGTTACTCTGTCATTCTGTGCTTTTCTTCAGCTGTCTTAATAAGTTTGGCCTGGTTTCTCTCAATAGCCTCCTTCAGCTTGGCGAAGACATGATTTCTGTTTGCTATCTCTCTGTCTGCAATTTCCCTGCTGATGCTGACTGAATCTTTGAACTCTTGGATCTTAAATTGTCTCGTCTTGATCATTTGCTGAATTGTAGCCCTTGTCTTACCCAGCTTGGCCAGGTTTCTTTCATATTGTTCTTTCACAGGTGCAACATCATGTGACTTGTGATCCAAAACAGAGCAGAGCATGCAGAGACACATCTGATCGGTCTTACAGAACAGCTCCAGCAGTTTATCGTGCTTCGGACACATCCTGCCTTCCAGGTTCTCCACAGGGTCGATCAGCTGATGTCTTTTCAGGCCTGATGCTGTCAGATGAGGCTCCAGGTGAGTCTCACAGTAGGAGACCAGACACACCAGGCAGGACTTCAGGGCCTTCACTTTGGGTCCAGTGCAGACGTCACAGGGAACGTCTCCTGGTTCAGCAGCTTGTTGCTCTGAGCTGCTGGCTCTCTGTTGAGCTGACTGTCTGAAGTGAGAAACCATCTCAGAGACAAAAGTATTGACCTGCAGCTCAGGTCTTGTGTCAAAAACCTTATTACAGTTGGGACACTGATAGAAAACATAAAAATTCCAGTGTAAAGTGATGCAGTTCTTGCAGAAGTTGTGTCCACATGGTGTGCTGACTGGATCAGTGAACACATCCAGACAGATGGAGCACAGAAACTGATCTTCAGACAGTGAACTGCTGGCAGCAGCCATATCTAAACAATGAGAGCAACAATGAAAGTGTGAAAAAGCAAAACTAGAATGACAGAAATATTGATTATCTGTTTGAAAATATCAAAGTATGAATACTACAATGTTATGAGTTTTCTTTATACCATATAGCTACAGTCCACATAAGTAAAAGTTTCATTTAACAAGCCTTGTTCTTAAATGAAAAGGTGACACACCCTGTGTGAGCACAGTGCAGGTATGTGGTAATGCTGGTTGTTTAAACACAGTAGATATGATCAGCTGTACTCACCAATGTGCAGAAACTCTGTTGTGTAGTTTGGAAAAACCCTGCAAACTTAGTTTACCATAATTTATCTTTAACAGCAAACAGCAAGACGTGTCTCAACTGTAATACTCCTGTTGGTTTGCTCCTGCTACTCTGTTCACTTTCAGTTTCCTTTCAGGAGTCTGCCGTTTAAAATCACTTCTTGCTTTTGCTCCGCCCCATGTTTCAGCTTTGTTGGTGACTTTTTTTTTTTCTGTTTTCAGCTGAGCAACTTTTGGTATGAGACAGATGTTATCTTTTTATTATGGTAAAATGATCTGGACATGTTTTATTTTGAATCTTCTCATTTTATATGGAAAGTTTTTCATCCATAAATGCAAAAAGTCTGAAAGAAAGCCCAATATCCACTTTCTTTTGCCGTGATCTGTTCTATTATTACTTTATTGAATTTTCTCTATTTATGACATAGTTACTTACTTTTTCTTCACCTTAACCTACTGTTTGTGTCTCTGTTTTTGTTCTGGCTTTAAGTTGCATATTGTCATCCATTTTTTGTTTTGTTTTTTATTAAAAGAAAGCCGTAAAAATAATAAATGTAGAAAAAAATCTAACAGAATCAGCGCACTCCTTCTTTATTCATACATTATTTCATACAGCTTCAACTCTGGTTCTTCCCACTGGTTTGATATGCCACACAGAGGCACAATAATCCCACTTTTCTCACTTATAAATAGCTTCTATTATTCAAACATCCTAGTAATGAGAGATCCAGAGTGTATAACACATATCTAGAGGCAAAGCACAACAGAATAAATGTGCACAGCAGATGTCAGCGACACGCTTGTTGCTCTGACACATGTATGTGATGTCTGAAATTTCATACTCTTTAAAATGCATAAATGAGAAGTTCTATTCCAATGTTAGACAGTCATCTTTTCATTAATGTCACCTACAAAAAATTTAAAGGAGATTAATTATATGCTCATCATGTAGGTGCAGGACAATTTATTCATAATCATACATATTCACATCTACATGTATGTAGCCATATCCTTATATCTATACTGTATGACATGCCTGTGCAGTTTCCTACTGTGATAATGTTTTACCACTTTCTGGCCATTAATATTTACAGGCTGTATTTCTATATATCTACAGTAAATAAACTACACACCATGAGTGTATTTCAGTTATCCTGTGCAACTATCAATCATAGACATACAGTATCTGTATAAGTGAAAGGTGTATATAGTGTATATTTTTATTTTGTTTTATTTTATTTGTACTGTTGTAATATTTGTATGTTTTGTAGCACTCAATCACTTTTTTAAAAACTTTTTTTCTTGTGCTTCTGACTCTTAAGCTGCTGTAACGTGAATTTCCCAGGTGTGGGATAAATAAAGTATTATCTTATCAAAAAACAGCACACATAAAGAAAAAGGTAACGCCAGCACATTTACTCCATGCTAAAAAAAGTTTAATCAAGACAACATTTCAATTCTACTTAGATCTTCATCTATCATTCTTCAAAATCTTTGAGCTCTATGATGACAGGTGTGGTTAACCATCAACACCTCTCATGGTGATAAAACTCACAACCAACAATTCAATAAAGTACATAGAAAAAAATAGCAATACAGAGACGTACCAGAAAATATCACACACACATATCTTAATATATAAAACATTATACCAAAGCAATTATCCCATATATGAGTCTACACCACCTGTGTTCAATAACATATTGGATTAATTTAAAGGAAGAACAGGAGAAATCCTAAATACCTGTTAAACTGGCTCTAAAACACTGCTCTGGAAATGTTTTTTAAAATAAAAAATACATACATATTAGTATGCGGGTGTTACCCTTTTTCTCCCTGTGCCAGGAAAACTTAAAAAAAAGTCATCATCTCATTATCTGTCTCTTCTAAATGATAAATAATGTTAAAATTGGAAAACTTCAGGAACACATACAGGCATCAAATTCACCTGCTATTTAATTTGAATTTTAATCATTTTTATAAAATCACAGGAAATGATGTTTGAGCCAGCAGGCAGTTACACAAAAATAGACATCAATCTACATAAAAATCATGGAAAACAACATATGGTAACTGGGCTAAATAAAAAATCCCCAAGCTGGGCCTGTGACTCTAAAGACATGTATACCACTTAGATTCATTGTTATACCACAAAAGTTCAATTATTTTTTAAATCACTGTGTTGCAGTAGAAAGCAACAATGGGATGTGTAAAAAAAAAAAAAAAAAGGCAAAAATCATTGCAAATAATTACAATCTGAAGAAAACAAGCACATACTGTACATCACCATCAACTATGGAGATTTGCTACATGAATTTTACTTTTCAAGAGAATCAAATGGTTATTCTGCTATGTAGGATTGACAACAAACACTGTACTACTCAATTATGGGATTTGTTACGTTGAGAAGCAGACATTGCAAAAATTTTCTTCAGTAATAATAAAAGTCTATCTTACCTTACTCTACCTTACTTTACTTCACCTCACCTCACCTAAAAGATATGTTAAGGGGGTGTGTGTGCAGAGAATGACATGTCATTCCACTAAGTAAAGTTGACAGGACAGATGATCAGAGGGGCAGAGTTTTTCCCATCCTGATTTGCAAAGGGAGAGAAGACTGGGTGGAGTTTTTCAGTGAAGGAGCAGCCAGTATAGGTGTAGATAAGAGCTGCAGCATCAACATCATAAAAGGAGACCAGACCCTCGTCATAATCTACAAACACCCCCACCTTCTCAGGCTTTGACTTCTGAGACAGAAGGACCAAAGACTCAGTAGGAGCATGGTAGATATTTTCATTATTCAAACGTATGGTCCAGTAACCATTCTTCAGGCTAACACTAAATAACCCCTTTCTGTTGACTGACTCTCTGGCAACTCCTAAAGCCCATTTAGTTTTCCCTTTCACCTGAACCTCAAAGTAAAATTTTCCTGAAGAAACAAACTGCTTCCCCAAGACACAGAGACCATGAGAAAATCTCTTTGGGGTTTCTGGGAGATCCTTCCACACAGTACCATCATGTACTTGTTTCCCATCTTCAGACAGGATGAGTTGGGGATTTGCTGTATCAGGATCAAGTGTGACGTCCACTGCATACTGCTGGACTATCTTTAACTCAAACTTTGTGAGAAGCTTCTTCATCTCATTTTTGAACATCTCCACCAACTGATCAACAGTTGTCCTCACAGTCCCCTCATATGAAGGAGGACAGATTTTGACCTGTGTACAGTTCTTGGTGGGTGGAGCAGCATCCAGGGATGGAAACTTCTGGACGAGGTTAAGATGGTCTTCTGAGCGTGAGAGCTGCTCCAGCTCATCGCTTCTCTTCTTCAGCTCAGAGATTTCCTGTTCCAGCTCTTTGATGAAGCCTTCAGCCTGTTTCTCTGTCATTCTGTGCTTTTCTTCAGCTGTCTTAATAAGTTTGGCCTGGTTTCTCTCAATAGCCTCCTTCAGCTCGGTGAAGACATGATTGCTGTTTGCTATCTCTCTGTCTGCATTTTTCCTGCTGATGCTGACTGAACGTTGGAACCCTTGAATCTTGAGTCGTCTCTCCTTGATCATCTGCTGAATTTCAGCCCCTGTCTTCCCAAGCTTGGACTTTTTTCTTTCATATTCTTCTTTTAGAGGAACAACATCATGTGACTTGTGATCCAAAACTGTGCAGAGCATGCACAGACACATCTGGTCGGTCTTACAGAACAGCTCCAGCAGTTTATCGTGCTTCATACACATCCTGCCTTCCAGGTTCTCCACAGGGTCAATCAGCTGATGTCTTTTCAGGCCT